TGACGCTGACCACAATGTATCTGTATCTATGCCGATGTCTATCTATGTGTATGTGTATCTATCGTCCGATCTACATCGCATTGTATCATCTTAATAATTAACGCATTTAGATCATTAGACCAGCCGGCAGGCAGCACGCGCAGTCATAAACTTTTGTTTAGCAGCAGATGAGATCCCTCCTTTCCCTCAGATTCATAATCACTTTCAGGTGGAGCCCATATCATTATGCATATGCAATTGCTAGCTTGTTAGGCAGAAATGGCCTCCAAACTGTAGGAAGATCAATGAGCGAGAGGCTGTGAAGGGCCATAGACTACGGATCACTACAGATCGAAGTCTTCAGATGTTCGATGTCAGACTGACTGTCTGTTTATCCGTCCGTGCGTCCAACACGCGCAGGCCTCTTAGTCAATTGCGTCTGTCCAAAGATATATATATATATATATATACAAACGTCTGATGCGTGAGTTTCTTTGGTCTCTGTAGTTTCGTCTCGTTTCTATGTATTTCTGTATATATGGTTGGATAGTTCCATTCAGTCTCTTTCTTTCTTACTTTTTTTTGCTCACCCACACACTTGATTGATAAATATTGATCCTGATTGAATGATCGAAAGCTTGCGAAAGCCCGAGACAGCCATCCAGCAGGCCTCTGGAATTATTGAGAGCTCAGGTTTTAAAGTTCCCCTGACAGCTGCTCAATCAAATCGAATCAAATATTTGGGCTAACTAAACAGAAACCTTTCCTAAAGAGGCCCCCCCAAATTCCATGCCCTCAACGATGATGTCTAAATTCTGGAAATTCGCAAAAATCAAACTCAATTACTGGCGCTGTCAATCAGCAGGCAGGAATCGAAATGGGAATGGGAATGGGTATCGTATCGTATCGGATAGGAATCGAAATCGAGAGGCATGCGTAAGAGGCATTTGTTGTACTCCCATAGTTGGCATATCTCGAAGATACATTTCACTTAACTGTATGGCATATATCATCCATTCAACTACATTCGGCCATAGACCAGCCACTATGACAGCACACACACAGATGGCAATGGTGATGGCGATGGTTATGCCGATCTGGATGGGAATCGGGTATGGAGATGGTCATGGTTGGGGTTGGGGCTGGGTGTGGGGATCGCTGGGAGCTGGCCGACGTGCGTTGACCCTGAGACCCACGCCCACGCACGCAAAATATAAACTAATAGTATTTTATATATAGATGCAGAGAGGAAAATATTTCATCCAAAAGAAGACACAATTTCTGAGTTCCGATTGTTTACATCTCAGATTTAATTATGATTCTGACCTTGGCCAATGCGATTTGTTTTCTTTATTTTTTATTAGTCAATATTTAGTTTTTAAGAAAATAAATTGCAGGAAAAAGGTATTTCGGTTAGGAAATGAGAATAAAACATATTCTTGCAATTTTTTGATCAGTGCATGCAAATCATATCCCCTTAGATTTGCAAATATTCATGGAAATCATGTGGAAGAGAAAACCTAAAGTGAGTTGAAATGAAAAACATTTTAAAAGTAGCAAAAGTACAATGAGAAGGACCGCTCTATCGCCATAAAAGATGAGTGCCCGCTGAAAGGCAAGATCATAAAAATGAACTAAAATTCAAGTACAAACGCGTGCATAATTCAATTTTCCGGGATCTGTATGGGCTCTTTGAACTGTCTGCTAGTTGGAGAAAGATATTAGACATCTGCAGATGATACCCCAGCCCGAAATGAACCTCTCCAGAAATTGACGTTGCCCAACTCACGGTTCAACACACGACGATCGACTTTCAGTAATGCAACGCCCCTGTTCGTGGTGGCCAATGCACTTGGCCAAAGACTTCAATTGAAAATTTTTTCATTTACACCAGGCCATTCTCAATGGATATGAATCGGTTTTATATAAGCCCACCGAAAATTTAATATTTCTTTCTGAATAATTCTTCTGTTCATTGATTCCGAAAACGTAATTGAATGCATATTTTATTGCACTGCGATTACTGGGAGGGTACTCACTCGTACATAAATATGAGTATATATGCTGGGGGTATTCTGAAGTATTAGAAGTGAACGAAAAATTGTCGAAATCGCCGAGCATAATGCCAAACTTGAGCCGAAATTATGTTGATTCTGCGCTACGTCAGCATTATCTCCAATTGCAGCACCGAGTTGAGCGGCTTATGGCATTCGGCATTCGGCATATGGCATACGGCATATGGCCTGATGTCCGATATCTGATGGCTTTACTCTTCTTGCCATCGGCTGACTGACTAAGCCTAAGCTTTTGTTTTGGCTATCAAACGAAGGAATATTCTACGGAACTGCACATGCCGCACACATTATACTGGCAGAAATTGTTCGACTCCCATGAGTAGGTTCTCAAAGTTATGAGGAAAGCGATTTCGGCAGTTCAGGAAACATTATATCATATTGTGTATATCATATTTTTAATGGGTAATCTGCAATGAATAATTTATGTTTTTAAGCGTATTCTATTCTTAATATCATTAAGCTTTCTTGGAAGAAATCATAATATTTTAAGCATATAATAAATGGGAAGAATCTTTAAGAAATGGATTACTCAATTTATACAGAAATCATTGTACTATCAGTTCTTCTTCTCCTATTAAAGACCAGCCTGTAATTTCTCTTAGTGTAATAACTTTATCCGGCTGTTATTGCAGCGCCTTTTGGCTGGCCCAGCTGTAGCACCACTCGGAACCACCGGCTGCACCACAGCTGCAATGACTATCCAATCTGAACGGTGCGAAGATCATCTGCGTGGTTCTCCACCTCAAGAAGATGTTAGGCGATGATCGTGGGCTTTCGGAACCAGGAGGAGATCGCCTTGAACTATTGACATTATTTGTGGCGCATTTTAATTACGCCAAGAGCTATGGAAATGCTAACTGACTGGCTGCTGGCCAGTTTTTCCATTGCATAATGCATCATGTTAATAGGGAGCGGCACCGGAGATCGAAGATCGAAGGCGCGACTTCCCGTTTCGGTAGCGCCGGCAATTGTCACAATGATTTACAGGCATACCGCGTTGGCAGCTATAAATTGCTAAATGACCATTACAGAATTAATTACACGAGTATAGAGGAACCCCACAGATGCCAGAAGTTGGCTGGACTCTGAGTCAGTGCCTCGGGCCGTGTCGATCGCAATTGACCTATTGCCCCATACGACTAGACTGCCGTCTGAGAATGAAATATTATCTTGTAATTGTCACGTATTAGCGGTGTGCAGATATGTTATTGTGTTATACTCCAAAGCTAGATCAAAATATGCAAAGTAGAACGCGAGTCAGAAGTCAGAACCACTCAAAGTCCATGTAACGAACTCGTAACTTGGTCGGTATTAAATTACCACGGCGTCGACATGGCCAGACTTTGACATACTGTGTGAATAAAGTAAGTTGTTTCTCTAACTAAATTAACGAAACAAAGGAAATTTACGTCTAATGTACTTACAATACATAACGAAAGTTATTATTAATGGGATTTAACATGAACATGTTGGGTTCATTAAGTATGCAGAAAATACAAATTATCCATGGGGCTTTATCTAAACTATCATTAAGTATGGACAGCTCATAAACTATCCAAATCATATATTACAATCAATAAGTGCCTGAGTGTTTTTCAAGTATTTATAAGATTTCTTTCGATCGACAACGACAAAACAGAAGAAGTTGTTTATGGTGTTTATTATTTTCCCGTTTTTATGAGAGCCATATGTAAAACATAAAATTTAGAATTTATTACATAAGTTCTGTTATATTATTAACATTCCCATTAACATAAAGCTGCTATATAACTAATTATACTAAAGTTGCCCAGAAGTTCCGAGAATGTTTCTTTAATAAATGGCTCAGTTGGATTTGGCTAGGCTTAGCTATGGTCAAAGTTCTCCCATAAGAGGTAACATCGTCTATTTCATGAAAAATTTACTTATTAAGTTTTGAATGCAGATTTATTGGGAACCAGAAAACAAACTTAAGGAAGTATAATATTCCATTTTTGGATAATTATTGGCTTAGTTATGGGCAAAATACTGTAATTTTGAAGGAAAATTGGGACTAACTAAATTTCTCATTTTTGATAAGGGGTAACATCGTGTTTTTTGTGAAAAATGGCAAAAAATGTACTTTTTTAGGCTTGAATGCAGATTTATTATAAATTAAAATACAAACTCAACGAGGTATTAGATTCCGTATTCCGACCATTATTGGCTAATTTATGATAAATTAAATTAGTAAAATTGAGGATAAAATCGGAGATAACTAAAATTCACATTTTTGATAATGGGTACATCATCCTTTTTTACGAAAAATGTCCAACATTTTACATTTGTAACTTGGAATGCAGATCTCATAAGAATTAAAAAACAATATCACCGAGGTATGACATTCTATATTTGGACCATTATTGGCTTAGTTATGGGAATAATACTGTCATTTGGAGAAGAAAATTGGGACTAACAAAAGACGCCTTTTTGATAAGGGGTACCATCGCCATTTTTCCGGAAAATTGGAAAAATATGTACTTTTCCAGGCTTGAATGCAGGTCGACCAGGAATTAGAAAACAAGTTTAATGAGGTGTGACATTCTATATATTAAGGCCATTATTGCCTTAGTTACGGATAAGTATTGTCATTTCAAGGAAAAAATTGGATTTAACTCGATTTTGCATTTCTGTAAAAGCTGAACTCCTCTAAATTTGGGAGAAATGGCCAAAATAAATAAAGATTTTTGGGCTTGAATGCAGTTCGATAGTGAATTTTTGTACGAGTTCAGCCATGTATGGCATTGTTTATTTTATTTTCTTGCAAATATTCATGTGGCATTATGTGGAAGAGAAAACTTAAACTGCGTTAAAACTAAAAGAATTGTCCAGAAGTTCGATGAACATTCTTATAATCCATTTTTTAATTTAAGCAATATATCGATTGTTATATCTGTTTTCTTCACCTTTTCCAACACTCAGGTGCTGTCCCTGACAGGTGAAAACAAGCCAGGACCCGATTGAGGAAAACACACCCCGTTTAGAGCCGCCAACCACCACCATGAGTGCCAGCGAGGGTATCAGTCTCCCCGGCAACGAGGACACCAGTCCACCACATGAAAAACATAAACAAAGGCCCAAGAAGGCCAAAAAGAAATCCAGGAGTGCCAAAGAGAGTGTTCCACATCCAATGGACGCGAAAGCCACTGCCAGCTACTTCACTTTGAGTATTGTGGGTCAAATAGTATCGGCCACCTTTCCTTTGGGTCCCGACAAGGAGTTCGTCTTCCTGCGCTATGAAATGGTCGCTGGTCCCGACTGGCAATTGTCCTCTGGACCGCAGCATGGACTCACCCAAATGGCCACCAACAAGAGGGGTCACTTCAACGAACCGATTGTCTTCAACATGCCCATCGAGGTGACCTACAAGAGCACCAGTCCCTTTGGCTGTGGGTAAAAATTATCAATACTGGAACATGAAAAATGTATCAAATGATTCTTACATAATTCCTCTTTTGTTGCAGGGCCCCAGATCCTGGTGAGCGTGTTCGGACGCAGTGGCCTTGGTCGGGAGACGCTCCTTGGCTATGCCCACATCCACCTGCCTGTATTTGGTAGTCGTCGCCCTGCTGAGCAAATGGAGCAGCTGCAGGCCTCCATATTGATGCCGAAGTGCCCTAACATGATGGCTGATATCACCAGTTGGCTGCTGCGCCGCGAGCCGGAACTAAAAGATCCCAAGGTACTGCTGGACAACCTTAAGTGCAAGGGCCTCTCCATGGAGTCCTATGGCAGCCTGCAGTTCCAGATGTCCTCCGTGGTGCGAGGAGCTCGCAAGTTGGGCTACCATTGGCATTCCTGAGAAGAATATCCAATATGTGTGTCAGTAAAACGTGAACTTGACGAAACAGAAAAGCGTTTGTCTTAATCTAATTGCCGGGTGGGTGGTGAATTTCCCACATATGGGAGCTACCTCAAACTTGACCTTGCCCATGGTGGCCTGCTGACGGCTAAGACGGCTCGGAAATGACGCGACTATCGCTAATCCGACGCAGCAAATTTGCGGCAATCGAAAGCCCAATCCGAATTGGTAACTTTGGATTGGCCAAGTGGCGGGTAATTGGATTAGGGCAATTAGTCTAAGACGGGCTGGACACAAGTGGCAATATAAAGACCCGGCCAGGGTTCCGCCCCAGGCATTGCCGCCGAGTCCGCGTCCCGAGAGTCAGTTGTCCTGCTATGGGCAGCGAGTAGTCTCCGCAGCAGAGTAGCCATCAAAGTTCCGACGAAGCCACCACCGAAGCACCCGAAGTTCCAAAATGGTTAGCCTGAATCCACCAAACTTTAGCTATATGCGCGATGGGCGCAATCTCAGCCTGGCGGAGAGTGTGCCCGCCGAGATTATGCACATGGTGGACCCGTACTGGTACCAATGGCCACCACTGGAGCCCATGTGGTTCGGCATCATTGGCTTTGTGATTGCCATTTTGGGCACCATGTCGTTGACGGGTAACTTCATTGTGATGTACATCTTCACCTCGTCGAAGGGACTCCGCACTCCGTCCAACATGTTTGTGGTTAATCTGGCCTTCTCCGACTTTATGATGATGTTCACCATGTTCCCGCCCGTGGTACTGAATGGTTTCTACGGCACCTGGATCATGGGTCCCTTCCTGTGCGAATTATACGGCATGTTTGGCTCGCTCTTTGGCTGCGTTTCCATCTGGTCGATGACGCTGATTGCCTACGACAGGTACTGTGTTATTGTGAAGGGCATGGCCAGGAAGCCACTGACGGCTACTGCAGCGGTACTTCGACTCATGGTTGTCTGGATCATCTGCGGAGCCTGGGCTCTGATGCCGCTCTTCGGTTGGAACCGATATGTGCCCGAGGGCAACATGACCGCCTGCGGCACTGATTACTTTGCAAAGGATTGGTGGAATAGGTCTTACATTATTGTCTACTCGCTGTGGGTCTACCTCACGCCTCTACTGACCATCATCTTCTCTTACTGGCACATCATGAAGGTGAGTTTAAGGGCATCTACTAAGCCAAGAATCTAGCTAGGAATTTTCTTGTCATGCAGGCTGTGGCTGCCCATGAGAAGGCCATGAGGGAGCAGGCCAAGAAAATGAACGTGGCCTCCTTGCGAAACAGCGAGGCCGACAAGAGCAAGGCCATCGAGATCAAGCTGGCCAAGGTGGCCCTGACTACCATCTCGCTGTGGTTCTTCGCCTGGACCCCGTACACCATTATCAACTATGCGGGCATCTTTGAGTCCATGCATCTGAGTCCCCTGAGCACCATCTGTGGATCCGTGTTCGCCAAGGCCAATGCGGTGTGCAATCCCATTGTCTATGGATTGAGGTAGGTCTAGCTTTTCCTTAGTTACATTCAATCTTTATAGTATTTTGTGACCCGCAGCCACCCTAAGTACAAGCAGGTGCTCAGGGAGAAGATGCCCTGCCTGGCCTGCGGCAAGGACGACCTCACCTCGGACTCGAGGACACAGGCCACCGCGGAGATCAGCGAATCGCAGGCCTAGGCGAATCAGAGACGACGACTGCAGACGTAGGGAACTGACAGCTCTAGATCTACAAAGACTCAACTATTTTGCAAAGACACCTCAAGGAAAACCCAAAAAAAAAGATGGCAATGGAAAATGTAAAAAAAATTAAGTAAAATATAAACTGCAATTGATACAAAATCAAAAGACAGCCCGAGTTGATACTTTTTAAGCTGCTTCATCAAGCACAGTGCCCCAAAGAAGTGTGTGCCTTTATTGGAAGTTTAACCTTTCAAGCATTTCAACCGTTTGTTAAAGCCATTGGATCATATCAATCATCGTTATCAATCATTATCAATACAGTAAGAGTCATCAGGGGGAGGAGTCCTTAGCGGTAGTAGGTGTTCAGTCCGAGGTCTATCAAAGTGCCATTGTTGCGTCTTTCCCGCAGTTCCTGGGTGAAGAGAGCTCGTCCTTGCAGCAGGATAAAGTCAATGAGCCTTCGATCCGAGCTCTGACGCAGTGCATCCGGATCAGATCGCTTGCGAAGGTAGTTAAAACAGCAGGTCCTTGGTGACAAAATGTGAAAGAAGAACTCAAAAGAAGAAGTCTTTGATGTGCTTACCGAAAATGCTTGGTGCCACAGGCGCTGGCACACTCCTTGCCACAGGTGTCGCATTTTATGGCCTTCGAGCTGGGGCACATTAGCCAAATGCCTAGATTTATAGAAATCTGAGATATATATCTTATTAAGAGGTAGTCCTTAAACTCACATATCAAAATGACCTGGAAGTGGGCCAGCCAATGCATCGTTGTCTTGGTCATTGGTCGGCAGTCTGCTCACAATTCTCTGCCAGTCATATGATCCTCTGTCGGAGTCCTGTCCCGTGTCCCAGAGAAAGCGCAACTGAAAGGACCGACTTGCCGGCTAACGGGTTTATATACACATCCGTTGCAGGACTCCGAGATGCCAGCATTCAAAGTGGCCAATGAAGCATGCGAAGGATGAATAACCAGGAGGACAATCGAGAGTATGTGGACACGCAGTGCATAATAAGTAACGGTACACACACACACAGAGACAGTTGCAGATTGCACAACAAGTTTATGGGTTTATTTTGGGGTTGTTGTAGGGGGTGGTTGGATATTGGCAGCCGCAAATCAAAGCAGCTGGACACAGGTTGTAAAAGTTATTAGACGGGCGACAAGTTAAGCATAATAAAAGTGTTTAAAAAAGTTTTTGAGACTTGCTGGAAATTAGAAAATGTATGTAGGAAAACTTACGATATTCGGTAATAGAAAAAAATAAATACATACTTCTAGTATCAACTTAATATTACTCTTGCTTCTACTAATTACACTTTAGTTTTATATTAATTAAAAGAAATCCACTTTAAAAAGTTTTTAAATTCCTTTAAAAGTCATCTAAATTTGTAACGAACTTTTTTCAAATTCCCCTTACGATATACGATATTTGACATATTTCCGTAGATGTGGCATCTCTATACCTCACCGGTTAAATCAGTGTGACCAGTTGGCAAGACCAGCAAAATTTCGTTTTCCTGCAATTTTTAAAGCCGTTTCCCCATCTGGTTACATTTTCTAGTAATAAATAAAGGACAAAATATGTGGGAACCGCCACGATTGAGTGCATCCTTGCGCACCAAGACAGAGCTGGAGGCCCGCAGCCGACGCTTCAGCATCTTGCGGCAGGCCCGAACTACCTCCGCCGCGTCCACGACGACAAAAAGTCAGGAGTAAGTTGCGATTTCACCACCTGTGAAATTCTGCTGAATTCGTTCTTTTCCAGCAAGGAGGTGCAGACCATTGCCAGGCTGCTGGCCCAGATGCCAGCCGGTAAGCAGCCCGCCGCCAAGGTTCAGCTGCAGAAGCTGCGCAACCTGGTGCAGGAGTGCATGGGCTACGAGGAGCAGCCACAGGTGGTGGAGCACGCCGCTCTCTATCTCTTCTGGCTGCTCCTCGAGCAGCGTGTGCTTCTGGTGGCCACCACCCAACGGTTGCACGGCATGTTCGGTCAGACCTTCGACCGCAAAAAGACCCAGATTCATGACTGTGTTCTGGCCATTGGTGATCTATTGGAGGAGCACGAGCGGACCGCACTCAAGCGATGGCAGCAGGCACAGCGCAAAGCGCCCGGAGTTGGTCCCCTGTGGGGTGCCCACATCCACGTTAAATGCACGCCCTCTGAGTGGATGGACATCAGCCTGCTGACGGATCTGGCACCGGATGCCCTCCTCAAGAACCGCACCGTCAACAAGTTCTCCATGAAATACAAATCCAAGACTGCTCCGACGGAGTCCAAAAGCGCGGAAGCCACCAAACTTAGTCCGGAACTGCGGATCCTGCTGGGCATCTCCGAGAAGTTGGACGACGAGCACCTGTTGAATCGAGTTGGCGACATTCTTGGTTCCAAGCGCAGTAGCGAGGAGTTACAGAACGAACTAATGGAACTCCTGGGATTCGATCACTTCGAACTGGTGGGAAATTTGCTCCAAGAGCGAGAAATAATCGCCAGGCAACTGGATCAGTATGCAACCCGATCCCGGCGTGTCAAAGAGGTGAAACAGAAGCGCATCCAGACGGCGGCTAATGGAGGTGCCTCGGAGAGGCGGCCGACTGTCGCCAGCGCCGTTGTAGTGCAATCGGCCCAGGAGAAACAGCTGGGCAAGATGCAACGAAGGGAAGAGAAGAAGTTACAGCGAATAATGCGTAGCATCAAGGACGAAGAGCCGGAAGACGACCCCAACTGTGCAGTGGCCGTGTCCGTCCAGCAATTACGAATGCAGCACCAACGAAGGCTCCTCGAAGCCGCCCAGCGGGAACCACTGCTGCTCAGCACAAAGGCCGCCAAAGCAGAGTACAAACAGTCCTCGTACACCCAGCCCATACACTACCCCTATGTGTTCGACAGCCAGCTGTTGGCGAAACAGCACGCCGGATTTATTGGCGGAAGCCGGATAACGCTTCCGGACAATGCACAGCGTGTGGACAACAAACAGTGGGAAGAGGTCAAGATCCCAGCGAGCGAGCCACCTCCACTATCTGTCGGCAACAAACGCATCAAAATTGACGAACTGGATGATGTGGGAAGACTCGCCTTTGCCAACTGCAAGGAGCTGAATCGCATCCAGTCCGTTGTATATCCTGTGGCCTATCACAGCAACGAGAATATGTTGGTGTGTGCGCCCACGGGAGCCGGAAAGACCAATGTGGCTATGTTGTCCATTGTACACACGATTCGTTGCCATCTGGAGCAGGGAGTCATTAACCGGGACGAGTTCAAGATCGTTTACATAGCTCCAATGAAGGCTTTAGCTTCCGAGATGGTGGAGAACTTTTCCAAGCGTCTGAAATCCCTGCAGATCGTTGTAAGAGAGTTAACGGGTGACATGCAACTGACGAAGGCGGAGATGGCAGCTACTCAGATTCTTGTCACAACACCGGAGAAGTGGGATGTGGTTACCAGGAAGGGTAAGATGAAGATAATGTACTCTGTACTTTATGTTAATCAAATTCCTTTACAGGCAGTGGCGATGTGGCTTTGATAAGCCTGGTCAAGCTGCTCATCATTGATGAAGTGCACCTTTTGCACGGCGAGCGAGGTCCAGTAGTGGAGGCTCTGGTGGCTCGCACTCTTCGGCTTGTCGAGTCCTCACAGTCGATGATCCGCATTGTGGGACTGTCTGCCACCCTGCCAAATTACATAGATGTGGCCCACTTCCTGCGAGTGAATCCTATGAAGGGTCTCTTCTACTTTGATTCACGATTCCGTCCAGTTCCACTGGACACCAATTTCGTTGGCATCAAGTCGGTGAAGCCCCTGCAACAGATTGCAGATATGGACCAGTGCTGCTATCAGAAGTGCGTTGAGATGGTGCAGCAGGGCCACCAGATTATGGTCTTCGTCCACGCCCGTAATGCCACTGTGAGAACGGCTAATGTGATCCGCGAACTGGCTCAGCAAAACAATACCAGTGCCTTGTTCCTGCCCAATGACTCCAATGCCCATGGACTGGCCATGCGTTCGATACAGAAGAGCCGGAACAAGCAGTTAGTGGACCTTTTCTCCTGCGGCTTGGCTATGCACCATGCCGGAATGCTGCGCGCCGATCGTCAGATGGTTGAGAAGTACTTCGTCGATGGCCACATCTCGGTGCTGGTCTGCACGGCCACTCTGGCTTGGGGTGTCAATCTGCCGGCACATGCTGTTATCATCCGAGGAACGGACATATACGATGCCAAGCATGGTAGCTTTGTAGACTTGGGCATACTTGATGTGCTGCAGATCTTTGGACGCGCAGGTCGCCCTCAGTTCGACAAGAGTGGAGTGGGTACCATCATAACCAGTTACGATAAGCTGAATCATTATTTGTCGTTGCTGACTAATCAATTCCCAATCGAATCAAACTTTGTAAATTGCTTGGCTGACAATCTCAATGCGGAAATTGGTTTGGGCACGATAACCAATGTGGAGGAAGCTATCGAGTGGCTTAGTTACACGTGAGATCTCTTACTTTATCTTCGAAATGTTTGAGATTATATTAACTTGATTTCTTGTATTTTGTAGTTACCTCTTTGTGCGAATGCGAATAAATCCCCATGTCTACGGCATCGAGTACTCGGAGCTGCAGAAGGATCCTACGCTGGAGGCACGTCGTCGAGCTCTCATCATGTCCGCATCGATGAGTCTGGACAAAGCTCGCATGATGCGATTTAACCAGCGTACGATGGACATGAATATTACAGATCTTGGACGCACTGCCTCGCATTTCTACATTAAATACGACACTGTCGAGACCTTCAACGAGCTGATGAAGCCTTTTATGAACGAGGCAGAGATTTTGGGCATGATTTCCCAGGCGCAGGAGTTCCAGCAACTAAAGGTGCGCGAGGATGAAATGGAGGAACTTGATGAGCTAAGAAGCTACTATTGTAAAATAAAGCCTTATGGAGGGAGTGAGAATATCCACGGCAAGGTAAGACCTGAACTTTACTATATGATTCCCATTTTACCAAGCTAAATATTCCATTCTCTGCCAGGTCAACATTCTCATTCAGACATATCTGTCCAATGGGTATGTCAAGTCCTTCTCTTTGAGCTCCGACATGTCCTACATTACCACAAATATAGGAAGAATAACCAGAGCCCTCTTCTCCATTGTTCTGCGGCAAAATAACGCTGTCCTGGCAGGACGCATGCTGCAACTTTGTAAGATGTTTGAAAGACGGCAATGGGATTTGGATAGCCACCTAAGACAGTTCCCTGCTATCAATGCGGAAACAATCGATAAGCTGGAGCGACGCGGTTTAAGTGTCTTCCGGCTAAGGGACATGGAACAGCGGGAGCTTAAGGAATGGCTACGCAGTGACCGATATGCCGAGCTGGTAATCCGCTCTGCACAGGAGCTACCCATGTTGGAAGTGGAAGCCAGTCTGCAGCCTATTACAAGAACAGTGCTGCGGATTAAAGTGGATATCTGGCCTAGTTTCACTTGGAATGATCGAGTTCATGGGAAGACAAGTCAAAGCTTCTGGCTGTGGATTGAAGATCCCGAGTCCAACTATATCTACCACTCGGAACTATTCCAGGTTACCCGGAAGGTAGTGATGAGCGGTCAGTCGCAGCAGCTGGTAATGACCATTCCGCTAAAAGAGCCACTGCCACCGCAATACTACATAAGAGTGAGCAGCGACAGCTGGCTTGGCAGTACTACATGCATTCCATTATCGTTCCAACATCTGGTGCTACCGGAGCACCACCCACCACTGACGGAGCTTTTGCCTCTCCGTCCACTGCCAGTCAGCTGCCTCAAGAACGTCCTTTACGAATCCCTCTACAAATTCACGCACTTCAATCCCATCCAGACGCAGATCTTCCATTGCCTGTACCACACAGACAATAATGTGCTCTTAGGAGCTCCTACTGGCAGTGGCAAGACTATCGTGGCGGAAATAGCAATCTTCAGGGCACTTAACCAGAACCCAAAGTGCAAAGTGGTCTACATTGCTCCTCTAAAGGCTTTGGTGAAGGAGCGCATATCGGATTGGGAACAACGTTTCCAGCGATCCTCGCTTGGTCTCAAGGTGGTGGAGCTAACGGGCGACGTCACTCCAGACATCCAGGCCATTCGCGAATCGCAGCTAATTGTTACCACACCGGAGAAGTGGGACGGTATCAGTCGATCCTGGCAGACGCGTGAATATGTGCAGCATGTATCCCTGATCGTCATCGATGAGATCCACCTTCTGGGCGAGGACCGAGGACCAGTCATTGAGGTCATTGTTTCGCGAACGAACTTCATCAGCTCTCATACGGGCCGGGCTATTCGAATCGTTGGATTGTCCACAGCCTTGGCCAACGCTCAGGATCTAGCCAACTGGCTGGGAATCACAAAGATGGGGCTGTACAACTTCAAGCCCTCGGTACGTCCGGTGCCTCTGCAAGTTCACATCAACGGATTCCCGGGAAAACACTACTGCCCCCGAATGGCCACCATGAACAGACCTACGTTCCAGGCCATTCGTACCTACTCCCCATGCGAACCCACAATTGTCTTTGTGTCCTCCCGTCGTCAGACGCGTCTGACGGCTCTGGACTTGATTACCTTCGTGGCCGGCGACTCCAATCCGAAGCAGTTCCTGCACATTGCTGAGAATGAAATGGAGCTGATCCTGCAGAATATTCGTGACCAGAACCTTAAATTCTGCCTAGCCTTCGGCATTGGTCTACATCACGCCGGTCTGCAGGAGCAGGACCGAAAGTGTGTGGAGGAGCTGTTTCTCAATCGGAAAATTCAAGTGCTGGTGGCCACCGCCACCTTGGCTTGGGGCGTTAACTTACCCGCCCATCTGGTTGTGATTAAGGGCACTGAGTACTTTGATGGCAAGGTGAAGAAGTACGTGGACATGCCCATTACGGATGTGCTTCAAATGATGGGCCGAGCTGGACGGCCACAGTTCGACAACGAAGGTGTGGCCGTCGTCCTGGTACACGACGAGAAGAAGAACTTCTACAAGAAGTTCCTGTACGATCCATTCCCTGTCGAATCAAGTCTGCTTGGTGTGCTGCCGGAACACATTAATGCCGAAATCGTGGCTGGAACTGTGCAGTCAAAACAGGCGGCTCTGGACTACCTCACGTGGACTTACTTCTTCCGGCGGCTGCTGCGTAATCCCTCGTACTATCAGCTGCAGGGCGTGGAGCCGGAGAATGTTAACGCTTTCATGTCCAACTTGGTGGAGCGCGTGGTCTATGAACTTTCCGCCGCTGCCTGTCTGGTGGAGCGTGATGGATGTTTGGTGCCAACCTTCTTAGGGCGAATCAGTTCCTATTACTACCTATCTTATCGCACAATGAAGCACTTCCTGGAGGATCTACAGCCAGGAATGGGCACCAAGGAAGTTCTCCTCGCCATAGCAGATTCCTATGAATTCGATCAGCAACCCGTCCGGCACAACGAGGACAAGTACAACGAACAACTGGCTGACAGAACTCGCTTTAGGCCTCCATCCTCCTCCTGGGACTCGCCATATACAAAGACGTTCCTGTTACTCCAGGCCCACTTCTCTCGCTTGTCACTTCCAAACTCGGATTACCTAACGGACACTAAGTCGGCGCTGGACAACGCGACTCGAGTGATGCAAGCAATGGTGGACTATACGGCGGAAAGGGGTTGGCTCTCAACCACTTTGGTGGTGCAGCAATTGATGCAGTGCATCATTCAAGCGCGCTGGTTCGACGGTAGTGAGTTCCTCACATTGCCAGGAGTGGACGAGGACAATCTGGATGCCTTTTTGAACATACAGCACGACGATCACGACTATTTGACGCTACCCGCGCTGAAAGAGCTGTGCAGGAAGGAGTATGAAGTGTTGGCCAAGCCTCTGCGAGATGCCTTTGAGGAGCATGAAATCGAGCAGATGTACAAGGTAAGTGATGGATTCATAACTCTTCGGAATGTTTCCTAAATAGTTCTTAAACCTGACTAGGTAATCCAAGACTTGCCCGAGATAGCATTGCAAACATCCGTGGAGGGTCGCTATATGGAAGACGAGTACGCCAAGAGACCCCTATCACTTTCAGGAGATCCTAAGGGTGAATGGATGCCTTTGCATGCCAATGAAGACTACGTCCTTACTGTTAACCTTCAGCGTCTCAATATCAGTGGACAGCGAAGAGGAGGAGGACAAGGCTATACGGTGCACTGCCCTAAATATCCCAAGCCCAAGAACGAAGCCTGGTTCCTGACTCTAGGTTCCCAGGCCAGTGACGAGCTGCTGGCCATGAAGAGGGTAACCATTCGCGGCCAGCGCTGTTCCAATCGCATTTCGTTCCAGGCAACTCCCCGACGTGGACGTCTGCAGCTTACGTTATATTTAATGTCCGACTGCCTGATGGGTTTCGACCAGCAGTACGACCTGCGCTTCGATATCATCGATGCGAAAGAGGTCTAAGTAGACCAGTTAGAAACTAAGTCTAAGATGAATATCGTAGCATTCTGTAGATCTGAGGCTTAACCTTTAGTAAATGGAGTTCATATGTATTCCTTATGAACGATTTCCACAACCACTGTTAGCATACCTAAGGTTTGTAGTCAAACTGAAATCGCGTATTTATTGTGTGATCCCCCAGAACATGTTTAACATTTTTATCATTAGTAACCTGCTTCGAGACGAAGCTCCTTTGTTAACCGACCACGTAGAGCTTAAAGTACTTTCTATGAATTTATGAAGTAACGATTTTTATTATCTGAAGTTAATAAAATTGTATTTAAGGCAAAGAGAAATATATTTCTGAATTATTAATTTCGTTTTTGGCTCGATTTAACAAAGATTTCATTCCTTTAATCTGAGCTGCCAAAATGTAAATAATTACATTCATATTTTACATGATTTTACATATTTTCATATTATCGACATGGCTTTGGTTTTCTACATGTCACAGTGGCGACATCTAACGTTCATTGTTAAAACGGCAAAGTAGTAATGAAGATCTTGAAATGCAAGTTTTTCGGAGATTAATAATTTAATAATCTTTTAAAATTATATAAAATATTTCGTTTGAACCAAAGTTTTGAATATTTAAACAGATACTTCGGTTTAAGCCCGAACCCGAATATTTCTAGACTTTTTATATCACAGCCTACAGAATTAAGAGCTTCAGAGCTTCATAAAAAAGATATCGCTGGAATATATGAATCATTAATCCTCTAGCCCTCTAGTATACAGCAGAAAGCGTTTTTAATCGTCCCAATATATACCAACTAGGAACCATTTTCCCTCTGCCTGTGCTCCTAAGTAATTCGCTGCGAAAATATGTAAACGACCCACCTCATCCAGATGTATTGTTTACGTGAGGCGTCTTTTAATGGCGAGTTTTATCTGGGTCCTGCCCATTTCTAGCCGCTTTCCCCTGCCTCCACACATGGCGCTGAGAAATGTAAGCATATTCAAGTGATTAATGCAGATGCCCACCGCATCGGACGAATCCGCTGGTCCCCGGAGAGGCGAACTCCCCGTCCCCGACTCTAGCGGGCGTCCAGGATAAGGAGCTGGCCTCCACCCGCAACGTTTGAGTAATTAAACTTGATTAATTGTCTAGTCAGCATGAAGGTAAAAATCGGCGTAGCCAAGATAAGCAAAACGGAAATGGAAATTAATTAATATGAAGCTAAATAAAACGAAAAAGAAATAATGAACAAGTTTACTTTTGGCAATACCCCAAAGGAATCTTCGATGGCTGATCATTCGATGGGCTCGAGTGCCATGTTGGTTTCCCCGAATTATATACATAAGAAGGGACCAATTTATTTCTCACCTGCGCAATTTTTACATTCCTTATTGCAATTCGCCCACCTTCGAACCGGCAATGTTGAAATTCCATAATCAGCAAACAAATAAATAAACAGCTGGAAAACTTTTCAGAAACTTTTGCACCTTGAGCACATAAAGGGTTTCATTTTGTCTTGGCACGCCAACTTCTCGGCCAAATCAGCGATGGCAGCCAACGGAATTTATTTAATTTGCATTCAGAAGTAGGAGAAGCGCATGGCCTTCTGGAGGCTTTGAGGATAGCCTTTTCAGTGGATTGAGCTTATAATAACTTTATTTTTACCTTTCCTAAGATTATTTCTTCTTTCACTTATGAGTTTTACATAGTCATAACTATAGTTTAAAACTACATTATTTGGTAAGTTCACATCAAAGTAGTTGCTTAGGAATTGACAGGTGGAAAGACATTCGACTAGCAAGCCTAGTGTTGGTTATCGTGACTATACACATTATCGAACATTGGGAAAGTCAGTGCTAAAAACTCTGGGATAAAAAAAGTCATTTCTTAATCAATTGCATTTTCTCAACAGCTAGATTCGTCTATTTTTTATCAAGTAAGTTTAATTCCTAACTATTGTATCTCGTTTATGATATGGCTTTTAGCATGGAAAGCTTAAGACTGAAGTCGGTCATCAACTCCTTTGTTTCTATTGAAGAGTCACGTGGTCAGGACACTCGTAAACAAGAGATAATGGAATACCAGCGGATGACCTCGACGTCAGGAAGCTCTACGCAGACGCTTTTCTGGAGTTTTGCCGGGCACGGGATGTTCCAAACCGGAAGCTCAGCCCTTCCTCGCGATTATCTTTCTGAGGAACGTGGGGACCAGACGAATCTGATTATCAACTACATGCCGCAGGACATGAATGAGCCAGAACTGCGCCGCCTGTTCAACGAGTACGGTGAGATCCGTAAGCACAGGATCATCCGGCACGCCGGTTCAGGACTAAGCTGTTGTTATGGTTTCGTGGACTTCATATCTCCACGTCAGGCAACGGCTGCCCAGCAAAGCCTGGACGGCACCGTTATCCGCGGCAAGCGACTTAAGGTATCCTTCGCCCGACGTCCGGGAGATGAGCTCAAGAACTGCAACCTGTACGTGGCCCATCTTCCGTCTTACATAAACGAAAAGATACTTCGCGAAATGTTTTCTGTCTATGGCAACGTCTTGGATGTGAATGTGATGCGGAACAAGATCACTAGGGAGCCCACTGGTGTGGCCTTTATAAAGTTTGGAAATCACCGGGAGGCAGAGTTGGCTAAGTATGGCCTAGACCGGCACAATATGGAAGGCGGCAACCGGCCCATTAAGGTGAAGTTCGTGGATAATCCTAAGAATTCCAAGCAAAATCACACCTCCAACGGTCTGCAGTTCAAGTACTTGGGCGATTTTCCACAATCGATGAAGCGCCGACAGGGAATGGACAGTCAGGAGGACTTCAAGCGTTCGCGTTGATCTTCTGTGAAGAAGATAAAATAAAAAAAAGAAGTTTGGTCCGTCCTTCTACTTGTCATTAATTTTAAACAAATGGAATATATTATTTAAAATAAACGTTCGGCCAAAAACTACGGTTTAAATGAAATAATTCAATATATTTAAAGATTTTTAAAAAATATTGAAACCCTCTGCTTAGTAAAGCCTTTTCTTTAGTATGTTATTTCAATTTAGGTGCACTTTGGATTAAAAACCTTTTTTTCAAGTAGTGCAATCCAATTAATTTCAGTCTTAACGTATTCATTCAGTTATGCATTTGGCTGCCCTTTGTTTTTTTTTTAATCCAACATAAATAATTCATTATTTTGCCGCAGGAGCTTGGCTTATCGTTTGCAAACAAGCCACTCCTACAAAGTCGAGATCCTCCGTCCCTTAAAAAACATTAACAGCTTTATCAATCGCCTGGTACCCTCAACTCACCCAGAGGGGCTGCCAATTGGCCAAAAAAGGTGCGTCGGATTCGGTTTAAGTTTCTGATTTCGATTTCGGGTTCGGGATGGGTCAAATAAATAATGAAAACAAAGGGCGCATAAATATTTGAAGATCGCAAGCCGAATGAAAAGACATGCGAAAGTAGGTGGGAAACGAGTGAATTGAAAATTATTTCCAATTCGTTTGCTTTTCTCATTATAATTGAGGCGCAAAGTTGCCTCTGCATCTTGGCTTTGGAATCTTTTACCCAGTTTGTTTTCCTTTCGACTGCTGCTCTTGTTTCAGCCTCCGGTCGCAATTCAGATTTAACTTACAGATTTTGCTCACTTCCCTTGGCCTTACAAGGGCCCTTCCTGTATTGCTGCAGTGTGCAGTTTTTTTCAGAGTCGAGGTCTTGCATAATGATTATATAACTGGGATAAAGGATATGTACTGAAAAGAGATACATGGCCTTAACATGAATTCAGTTTTTTCTCAAGACTTGGGGCTTGGTATTTGCCAGCTAGACATAAGTTGGATCACAAAACAAAAGTAGTCCCCGCTTCAGCTTACTTTATGATATGATTTAAAAATGTATAACAATTTATTAAAGTAATGAATATTTATAAAAGCTAAGTGAAAAGGTATTTGTTTACCCATCCTTCAAATCAAAAACCCAAACGAAAGATAGATTGCTTCTTCATAGAATGACTGCCCTGTGATGTATGAAATAAAAATAAAACTAAATAACAAAGGCGTAATGAAACCGGAAAATGAGAACAATTGAATTTCAGCTTCATCTTGTGCTAGAAATGCAAATCAAATTTTCACTTCTCCTTTGTTTACAGTTTTCATTTCATTTTTCAAGGAACAGTTGCGTTCGTCCCTAGGAGGAGTCTTCGGAGTGAAAAAAGGGCTGCAGCCCCTTGATAAGCAGATTATACGCTTTTCACCATTTTTATCCTTTTCCTTTGCCCCTCGGCGAAGGCTGCGAATGTTTTGGGGATTTTTGTTTTAGCCTCGTGTTTTGTTATATTGACATTTGTGGCATATTGTTTTCAACAGAGATTATTATCAAAAAAGAAAAGATTTTCTTTCAATCAAAAATTTCATAAAGTTTTCTCGCGAATCAAGAAGTGATTTCCCATCTTTCCATTTGCGATTTTCTGCGTACATATTTTACACAAGCTTAAAGTATTTTATTTGAACATTTTCTCGTCGTGATTCCGACTCATTTGTCTTGCTTTGTCCGCCAACATTAAGAAAACAGACTGCCCACAAATTGACGGGAGGGAAAGGAAAAGCGATGCGGAGGCTAAAAAGCTTGTCAACCAAGCTGCCCACAAGCGTCACGTCAGGATAATTAAGAAATTTTTCAGTTCCCGTCTTGTGGACCCCACTTTTCTGGCCCTCAATGGCGGCTGACTTGGTGGTGCGACTTTCGCTATCGAAATAAATGGAAATTGATTGAATTCCATTAGGCCGGGCAGGGAACCAAGTCGAACCGAACGACTGCCTTTCAAATTAGGCAAAAACTAATGAGCTATGCACATGACCATCGACAGCAGGCATTAAAAGTTGTCCAGCTTCCAGACTATCATTTTCAGGGGGGAAAGGAATTTCTCTTCCCTCAGGAGAACATTGAGTCATCAGTGTAATGCTGAGGGAGTTTCTTAAGCTTGGGGATGAGGTTGACCGCTGCAGGTCTGGTAATGGGTGGCCATTACAGGGTTCACTTGCCTGCAATGTGTAATTTATAGAGTTCTGGTAAGTGAAGTTGGTATTCAAGATTCCATTTAAACTACATAGTTTTTCTATTCCTATTATTGTTATTATCTCAGGAAGAAGTGCTATCGATCTCTTACTTTCCCCAACAAAGAAACTTAACACACATCACGAGGGTTACCTGAAGATCCTGGCACATTATGAACTTCAGCTCCAACCCGAACTCCTTTCCCAAAATGATAAAGTCTCTACGAGGACCTTTGAAGGGTCATATAATTCGCCAGGATCCGTGACGGGATTGTCAGGCAGTCCGTCAGAGGAATCAGTGCAACGCATGCGTGCGCCATTCATCATCGTCAGCGGCACACACTGAACTCTAACTCAACATATTGTTGCAACATATTTTACGTGAGGGGTTACCGTAGTTCCTTTTATTTTCTCCCCCACACTCAGCCCCTCAAATCGCTTTTGCCTGCGTGGAGATTTTTTCAATTTTTAGCGAAAATTACATCATCACTTATGCTGAATGAGATTTCCGCCCGCTCCCCTGACTTGGTGAATTATTAAAAAATTTCTTTGTCAACAAATCACTTGGCTCTCGTGTATGGTGTATGGGGGGCGCTTCACTAAATAAGGCGTAGGTCATACACATACACATGCGATTTACATTAGCCGCTCCCCTCCATCAAAAAACGCAACAGAAAAAAAAAATATAAAACCGAAATTTAAAAACGTCGCAAAGAAATTTGTTAACGTTGGAGGGTTGTTTTGCCAGCCTTTGTTGCGGGGTTGTGGGTGGCACCCTGATGATGTATGACGGCAAAGGTGGAAAATCGTTTCCAAACATAATTCTGTTTGCCTGACACCTACAACACTCGCATAAATCTCGCAGCTCTTTAATTCTGGTACCCAAGCCTGTACGGTGGGAAGCTTAAAGTCCTTTCTCTCGTTTCGTCCTAATTTTGCGGGACCCAAGGCCTGCGGCAGTCGTTGACAAATTCAATAATTTTTCCCATTACAAAAGGAGACTTCGGTGGTTGGGTTCGTTCTGGGCGGCTAAGGCTTGTTTTTGTCTGACGAAAGCGACCAAAATTGATTGACGCTGATTTGAGTGGTGGGACCCGGTGGGGTCGGATGAAATCCCTGGCTAAATTTAATTTCACCCAAAAGAAAAATCACACGAAATCGACACCTGCCAAGGCGCCGGAAAATAATCAAAATAAAATATGGATTTTCCTTTGTTCCACGCACCCGAAGGCGGAATCGAGTTAGACGCGTTGGCGAGAAGGTCCTGCCAGCGGAGTCTACCAATCTGCAATTTGTCTTGGCGGATGTGTATGTGTGTGTTTGTGTGTTTGTGAGACTTCTAAGCCGCTCGGCAAACAAGCGGAAGTTTCCCCACGATGCGTTAATACTCGAAAATTTGCGATAAGACCGGGGCTCTTTTCCCCCAGGAGATAATGCAAGAAAGCTGCTTTCTGGGGGGTTTTCTATGGGTAGGGTTAAGAGACGGCTAGGATTGGTTGGTACTTATTATAACAATAAGTTCATTCGCAGGTTTACGCTCCAGTTGGTCCAGACCCAGTTCTGAGCTAACAAGATTTAAACTTTGAAAGTCTTTATTTGGATATATGAATAATTTCCAACTTGGCTTAAAGAATTGAACTTGAGCTGACAGTTTGATGCTCTTGAAAAGGTACATCATTTAAGGACCTAAATGTTTATTAATAATGAATTCATTTTCTTATAATTTTTCCTTATAAGATATTTTTGTTTTTACCTATTACAAACATTATTTGCACTTCTTATCGATATTAAGAAACTGCACTTGCTAAGAACGGAACGCAAAGTTCGGGCCACAAATAACCCAGAAAGTTGCAGAGATAAGCGCGGAACATTGGCAGACGAAAATAATTTGCCAAACGCGGAATGCCAAAAGTTGGGCGGAAGTAGTGGAAGCCCAGACCAAAAATTGCAGACACATTACCGCGCTTCAATTTCAATAATGTGGAACACTCGAGTGTGAACACAAACGTGCTCCGAGAACTATTCTGGGCGAAATAGTTTGCCAACACATCTGTTGGCATCTCCGGCAAAAGAAAGGCCAAAAATTGGTATTATTGAACAGCAATAAATTTGACTAGAACACAGGAAGTGAATGTGGATGTGGAACAAGGACCAGGGATTGGGGTAATGGGATATTGGGATACCAATTGGTATGGGTATTCGGATTGGGGTTGTGATTGGGCAAAACAAAAACCAACTTTCAGGCAAAAATGGCCAAAAGTTTTAATTACCCATAAAGATGTTCGTACACGAAACAAAAACTACTACAAGGGGGAAATCAGGAGCAGGAGCATGAGCAGGAGCAGAAGCGGAAAGGGATGTGGGTGGAGGGCGGAAACCAGTCAGTGGCGATGGCATTGGCAAAGTGTTATGGCAAATGATTCGGTCTCGCCTCGGTGAAGAGGCTCAAAATGTAATCGACAGGAGCAGGCATAGCAGGAAAGTAAAGGAGCCAGGGAAGGCCTTCCCTCGTAAAGATCATAACGCATTAAATTGGCCCACAAATTGGCCTCCTCTTGGCTTGGCCCATTTTTCAGAAATCAATGGCCAATAAGTAGGCAACGGCCAAATCGTTTTCTGGTCAGTCAGCCGCCTCTTCTGTTGTTGAGTAATCGCAATTTGGCAACCAACTGCCAGGCATCCACATCTAACCAGCTGACCAGCTCCTTTGCACTGTCATCCGTGGCCAGGACACGCCCTCGAGATATCCTTGGCCGTTGTTGTGTGTCGGGCTTTGAGAAGTTAAGAATTCAATTGACCACGAAATCAAGATTATTGTACGAGCTCAAGAGCTGAAGTGCGGTGGGAAAGTGCCTTTCTCTTGCCTCTAGCCTCGGGTGGGGTTTTGAAGTTTATCCCTGGACAGAAGGGAAGTGCCGGCGGCTA